GATAATCATAACTTTAAACTGTTTATGATTAAAATTATACTGCTAAGGGATGGTTATCTCAACTAAAGAGATTATATAAGTAGAAATAGCTGTATTTTTTACTTATCTAGGCTTCATGAATCCATGTATGTAGTTAGTATATCAGCATGTCCAAACCTGCTGTTTGATGGATGAGTATTGGCAATGGAAGTTTGGGTTAGGCTGTTACTAGGCCAACAGCTCTCACTCAATGTCCCACCAAGTCTGCTGCTGCCCAACAAGACTGTCTGTTCTTCTTCTTGACCTGCCTGCAGCAGGACTTACCGCTCACGAGACAGACAGGATCTGCTCTATGTTCTCCCACCCTTGCAGATTTTAAATTCTTTGCATTTTCTGCATATAAATAGCAAACTGTGTTTCCAGCGGTTGAGTGGGAGCCGCCCTGATTGCAACGCCTGTATTTAGCTATTCTGAAAGGAAACTTTCAGGGTCGTTTTGAATATGTCATTGTTTATTCTTGGAAGGCTTGCATATGATTTTATCACCTATGAGCAATGCCTGGTGTAGAACCCCAAGAGGAAAACTTGTCCATGAAGAGGTATGGTGTGCATGGCAAAGACCCTGTCCACCATTCATGACCAACAGCAAGAGCTGTGAAACTGATGCCTCTGTATGGACAAAGGCAGTGAAAAAAATGTTTGTCATTCTAATTCATTAGAAGGGGGCAGAAGGAAGGGGCATGCTAAAGTCCCCTTTGGCTGTCACAGAAAGCACGTGAGCAGCAGCCGGGAAGCAATGTGCTCTTCAGTGTTTCTTCTCCCGATGCCACTGGGGCTGCCCAGCAGTGCGCTTGGGAGATGTAGGGGTGAGCAGAGGTCCCAGTCAGAGCGCCCCAGGAAAGCATGGACCAACACATCTTTGCAAAGGTTCTCGCATACCAGTGGCTACAAATGGGGATTAAATTTACATCCTTAGAGCTCTGTGAAGGCAGCCTGGTAGATCAGAGAACTGTAACGGCGTGCTTCCCTGCATCCACACTGGTGAAATGAGGAACCAAAGCCTTAAGCAGGTTGGCTTCGCAAGCAGCTCCAGCTCTCTCTCTTCTCCTTGCCAGGCTGACATTGCAGTAGTCCCTGATCACAGCCACAACAGAAATTGTATAAGGAGGATGCAGCACAGACACCCTTAAATTCCCTTCCCAGCTGCCTCTCTCTTTGGCTGGGGAAAAAAAGAAAAAAAATAAACCTCCCCTACCACAACAGGGAAAATATGTCAAGCAGGAACTTTGTTGTGAGTACTCTGATAGCTCGTCGCTTCGGTAGGATATATTAAAAGGCAGCGCTTCATACCAGAACCTGGTGAATGACATAGGAAGGAAAGATCATAGACAGTTATTCTTGGGGTTTTTTTCCATGATAGTTTTAGCTGAATCATGAAGGAATTTGAAACATTACGGGGAGTGCACTAAAAACAGAAGATGAGCTAAAAGGATTTGGCAGTACTTAAATGCATTTCAGCTCTTCCCCAGACTATGATGCAGTCTATAGAAAATGCAAGCACACTTTGCCCGGAGACATCTAGTGCTGCAAATTAGGTGTAAGAGTGAGCTGATGTAGTAATCCTGAAATGCTATATCCGAGTGCGCTCTGAAATATGCCTCTCATACTATTTTAAAAATACTTTTACTGTTACAGTGCATGTGAAGATTGCTGGGCAGCCAGCTCCAAATAGGCACAGAGAGGAGAACTGCAGAGGCGAGGATCTCCACGTCGCATCGTCAGTGGGCCTCTCTCCGAAGCATAGCAGCCCCATTAAGAATTTGCCCTTGCGTCTTGTCCTGTCCTGCTGTCTGGCTCCCTTCTGAACCTGCCAAGAAGCGGTTCTATTTGTTTGTTTCTTCAGGTGATTGTTGAGCTTTTTCCTCAGACACCATTGCTAGCAATGATTTGAGACCTGATTCCTTTAGACAGCCATGTCCGGAAATCTAGAGCTGAAACACACCTCTATAATCCTTTGAGCATTTAATGTTTTCATACTTTTTCACTATCTGAATATGTTCTTTCAACTGATTTTATCATTAACATAAGAAATCTTAAGCCTTTTTAATGAGAATTATAGCTCCTGCAATACAATAACATACACTGTTACATAACATACACTAGCATAATGTAATACATGAAGTTTCATAGACAGCTATAATAGATATTTTAGGGCAAAGAGTTTTTTTATAGAGAAACCCAATATTTAAAATATACTATTCATATATATATAATAGCAAAGCAGCTGGGAAATATTTTTCTCACGTTATCAGGGACTGAGAAAACAAAAATTATTTTAAATATGAAATTTTATCAGACAAAAGCCACAACTTCAGATCCCTGTATATGTCCTCCCCCTGGGTGTATCCCTGTGTATATCTGCTATGTCTCAAGCTGTCATTGAAGTTAATGGCATGCCTGTTCATGAAGGACTTTTGAAATTGGATAATTAGACTGTCCTGAAAACAACTCTCTAATTGTCCTTAGTGAAAGCGGCGTGTGCTTCTCGTACTGTACTGTCTTAGACTCTTAGTTGTACCAGCAGAACTGCTGCAATTGTGCTCTGGCTCTAATCATTTGTGGAAATCTATAAAGCAAATTATGATTCATCTTTGTAAGAATAGTGAGGGCTTAAAAATGATTGTATGAAACACTACGCATGACTATGCTGTGCACCTCTTTCATTTGCTGTGGTAAATGAAACGGAGCATTTCACCTTAGCACCGAAAATATTCGGGACTCAGCCTGAGAGGGCCCAGGATAACCTGATCTTGGGCCCTGCTTCGAGCAGCAGGTGAAACCAGGTATCTCCAGAAGTCCCCTCCAAGCGGGACTCTTCTCTAGTTCTACAATTCTAAGTTAGCGCCACATAAACTATCACAATAAATCTAACAGGAAAATTGCCAGCTACTAACTGTCAGCTGGAAACCACTATGGTACACAGTAGGTTTGATTTGGATGAGGAGGGAAATTTCAGCCCTCACTGACAGTTATTTTTGATCATGGAGTTAACTGGGTCTTTAACTTTTAGAGTATTCTCACCTCCTGAGCTTTATCAGGTTCTTCATAAACCAACTAGCTAGTGTGCTTGCCTCTGTTCAGAAATACCCTGGTATTCCGATAATGTGTTAACAGTTTTCGTTTGTATAAATCAAAGCCAAACACATATTCCATTCCCGGTTTAATTTGTTGTGCACAGCCTGTGCATTGTTCTTAACCGTGATCCCCACTCCTTCCCTGCCTCCTCCACTGCCACACGTGGGAAAATACTCAGTGACTGAATAAACCTGTGATGAACTGTGGAAGTCCTTAATGCTTTCAGTGGCCTGAACAAGAAATGTTCAAGTTCCTCTGAGTTTTGGTGGTGTTCAGCCTGAGCTCTGAATTCAGCTGCTTCCCTGTTTCCTTACTGCAATCTGTCAGAGGCAGACTCAAGTTGTTACTCTGTGAATTTCATCTGTTTGTTCTTCTTTCTGGCTGTTTGTGTTTCCCTTCCCTGTTGAGAGAGTTCACAGGCCCTCCAAAAACCTGACGAAAGTGCACTTTCTCTCTGCAGGTAACCTCATCCCAGGTAAAGCTGATTCTGTGATGGGCTGTGCCAGTCTGGCTTTTTCCTGCTGTACCTCATTTTAGAGAAAATCTTCCCAATTGGTGGTAGTGTGTGACAGGAGATTGGCCCAACACTATTTGGCTTAGAGCTAAACTTTCAGCGTAGCCCTTTCAACTGGCTTTAGAGCATTTTCCATCTGGGGATGCAGTTTTGGCATCAAGCACATCTTTGTCACAGGAGCTCTGCTCTGCTGCTTAGCAGTGGTCAGGTGCTCGAAGCAAAGAGGTAGGTTAAGTCAGTGGTCACTGTGTATCGTTTCATACACTTCTTTTGAGTTAATGGAAATTGAAAATAAATTATGTTCACCAAAGGGTACTCTTGGTATGATTGACCAAATTCTTTTCCTGGCCTTGGAAGAAAGTACAGATTTTGTGCCCCGAAGCAGAAATTTGCCCTCTGAATTTTAGCCATTTAAAAGTGAGGTAACTAGTCTGAGTCATCTTTACTTTTTCTAGGGTTAGAGGAGAGAACTTGTCATTTCCAGTAAGCGCTATATTCCACTTAACCAGGGCAGGGTGAAATGCCCTTTGATGTGTCTAGCATGAGGGAGCCCAGATAGCTGACTTAAATATGGATGTTCTCAGTATCTGAAATCATGTGAGATGGACCCCACCAGAAGAGATCGTAGTCTAAATCTGCAAACCCAGCCTAAGGTGTAGACCCAGTTAGCACACCGGATAAGCTTCATGAAAGTGCAGGCATCTGTGTAGCATCATCATCAAAAATCTTCCTGGAAGAGGTTTAGGAAAGTATTTGAAAGAGCAAAGGCAATTGTTTGATATGTGAGAAGAGGAGAGCAGTTCTGGCAGACTGTAACAGAGATGGAATTATTGCATCCACCCCTCCTGCTACCGCCACCCCCAAAATCTGAAAACTTCCTGATTTGTGTTCATCAATAATTAAGAGCCCATCAGCAATACTCAGAGGGAGCTTGCATTGCACTTCTGAGCAGCCAGTTAGTAATGTACGGTGGAGAGATCCTCTTTTTCAAATCCCAGGGCTCCAGGCCATGCAATGCTAGTATTGCATTTTCAATTAGCTTCTGAGTGAATGCTTGGCATACGTAGAAGTGAACTGGTACACAATTAGCTTATTGTTCCTTTCAGCTTTGTGCTGAGAGGATCTGAAGGACTGCGGAAGAGAAGGGAGAGGGGGGAAAAAAAAAAAAAAAAGAAAATAGCCAAGCCGGCGGCATCTCCGTGGATGTGGAATAAGGGAGTTGCTGGGCTCACACAGATTCCCGTGCTAAGTCGGGAGTTACAGCTGTTCCTGAGGAGCACCCAGCCTGGCTGTGGGGAGGGCGCCCGGGGAGAGGCGCAGACCGAGTCTCAAGCTCCGGGCTCTTCTCTCGTCTGACTCACCTCAGCATCAGGATGGAGCCCAACAGCCCTAAAAAAATACAGTTTGCTGTGCCACTGTTTCAGAGTCAAATAGATCCCGAAGCAGCTGAGCAGGTAAGGAAGAAGTGTTTCCTGCGGTGTTTTGAGGGAATGGGGTAGGAATGGGGGCGAGATGTGCGGTGAGAACAGGTAATAGTTGTGGCCTAAATGCTTCTCTAACTTGTAGTAGTGTGACTATAGATTAAATGCTCCGGAGGTTATAGCGGTGTCTGGATACACCCAAAGAGGGAGGAGGGTAAGTCCTCTAGCCAGAATAAGGCTTCTTTACCTTGGGTAGGTTTACTCAGTATATATTTGTTGTGCCTTTTCTATAACTGGACTTGTACCCTAATACATACACTTCACGTGAATGCACACTCCCAGCAAATCAACTAAAGTTTATTATTTGTACATATAGCAAAACATGATGATAGGTTCCTAATGGAAATATTACACAAAGTACAGCGTGTTTACCATTCATTTTAACATGAGAAAATACAAGTTATGTTTTGCACAATAATTATCACTTCAGTTACCTCCTGTATTTTTATACAGTCTTCTTTATGTTATTGTTAGAGTTTTATATATTTGAAATATATATATGTAGAAATATGCCTGACTTATGTCTGCATTGGAATTATGTGTGTATTATTTTAGGCTTTGACTCACTCCCAAAACATACACATATGTGTAATATATATAGCAATACAGACGTCTAAGGAGGAAAAGATATCTATTACTATGCGTAGATGCACATAAAGAAGGACCCAGGGAATCTTATGAGAAAAGCTGGATAAATTGTAATTAGGTGACCCAGTACATTTCTCTCAGTGCAAGTCCTTCTTGACATTTGCTTCTATTTTGGTAAGTCTAGTTTTAGATGATACCAGGGGAGTATTATAACCTTGACAGTTCCATGCCATTAGCTATGAAATTATTTGCACCTTTAGGACAGGTATCTGGTTTCCTGAATATTCTGATGTCGTGTCTCTTAAAAGGCAGCCACCTTTGCCAGAAAATGATGAGTTGTGAGTGACCACTGAACGAAGAAATACTAGAAGGGTGCAGGGGAGAATTGCTGCGGGTCTTCATTTTGTCCATAGGTACTTCTGAGCTGTGAGATGTCCATACCTTATGGAACATCCCAGCAATAAATTCAAGAAGGATGTGTTCTGATATTTTTCTGAAATCTGTGAGAACCATAGGATTAGGATTTCTTGGAATTCCCATGGCTTTTGAAATGCTGTGGCCCAAATTCTGCCTAGTATTTATGGGCAGTCCTTTTTTTTTTATGTTGTGAGTTTAATTCCAAGTGCTCTACAGTTTCACTGTGGGCGTGTGATGAAATTAAAGTAGTAAATTCTGCTGTCAGCTACAGTTACGCTAATCTGGAATAAACCCATTAACCCTGATGATGTAATTTTCCATTTACACCTCTGAAAGCAAAATTTGAACCCAGCTAAATACAGATGTTGGCTCAGCAACTAAAAAAGAACAAACGCACTGACATTGAGGTTTTGTGTCAGAATGGTTTCTCGCGTAAATACTCTTCATCCCTCTCTTTAATTCAATAGAATATCAATAGCCTGGAGGCTTTAGAGAAGCAACACAAAGCTTTCAATGCAAATGTGTGCATTATAGGAGGGTAGTCTGATATCGTGTAGTTCAACCAGTGTTAATGGAGCAAAAATATGTAACCACATAAACCCTGAATAAGAATTGCATACGATATTGATAAGTAAAGTTCTGTTGTATAGTGCTCTTTGAAAATATTCTTTTGAAAGTCTCAAGTATATTTTTTCTTTAGTTAAAGAACAGTACTAACACCTCTGGCCACAGTTTAGAAATATCAATTCATTGGAAGACACACATGCAATATCAACTCTCAATTGCACTTACAAAGTATTCATGATTACTTGTGAAAGCTACGACAGCAGTAGGTATTTGCACACATAACCTCCAAAACTGCTGCAATCACTTTTCTGAAGCAAAGATAAATGTCAGTATTTTAAGATATGACTGATATGTGTCAGCAATATGCATCCAAAAACTTCTTTAAGATGACAGCAAATCCTAAGGGTATTTTGGAAAGCTCTCCCCCATGCCTTTACTTCCCATGTACAAGCAGCAGCATGACCCTGATCACTGGCAGACCAGACGAGCACTCAGAAGACAGTGCCATGCTGCTGTTCTTTAAATATTTTCTTTGTTAACTTTGCCTTTTCTATACTCAGGAGTGCACCAGATGGATTTTTTTGCTTTGCTTTGGGTGCAGGGCAGTTGGTGGACCCTCATGACTCTCCTTGGTTTATTCATGTTACAGATCAGGAAAAGAAGGCCTACACCAGCATCGCTCGTCATCATGAATGAACACGTGCCCCCAGGTAAGTGCCAACATACCTTCTAAACCATTGAACTTGTGTACACAGGATTGCCTGCAAATTTGTTTTATTAACTACATGGTTTTAAAATCCAGCATTAATTTCAGAGCACTAGATCTTAGAACAGTTCGGAGTAAACCCCATGAATATGTGTAACTCTTGGCCTCCAGATAATGTAGATCATTTCAGGATTTTAACCTCCACGTAAATCTTTTGTTGTATGTACAAGGAAAACATGACCCTGATCCAGCACTTCCATCCACAAACCTTTTCTTTCCCTGGGTGGATACTTTGGAGATCTATGAAGTCCTAGTTTTGGTTTTCTGATCCCTAGAGATACCAGGGTGGCTCCAGGGCTAATTCAACAAAGTGAATTGCTTCTGCAAAACAGGTTTTCTAGTTTCCTGATTGAAACATGTGATGTCTGTTTTCATTATTCCTTTTCAACTGTGAATACATTATCTTCATCCAAGACTCCTCACAGAAGATTTTCTGTGGGATGGGATGATTTGAAGTTGCAGCATACTTTGTCATATAAATGTGACTTCAGAAAGACTCTTTAACAAGATGTTTAGGGAGTATTATAAGTGAAAAAGCTCAGCAAAAATGGATTACAGGGAAAAGTCCTCAAGACATAATCCCTTTGAAACACACTACCTACTTTATATCAAAATTTTCTTTTATATAGTGCTCTGCAACTTTTTTTCCTGCCTTCTCTCTTCATCACCTGAATCTTTTTTTAAAAGCAGTTTAGGCTTTTTCTCACAGATATGTCTCTTACGGTATTACTGTATGCACTGACACCTCACTGACACAAAACCATCTTAGCTCTGTTAGGATCTCTGCTTACTGCACTGTGCTGAGGGTCTCCACTTCTGATTAACATCAGCAGCAGCTGAAGTTTCTCAGAAAAGGCAAAAGGAAACATTTAGAGAGCCCTGCTCTTGGGCTTGAGATCATTGCAGCACAGCACACAGATTAGAGAGGTTCAAGCCTGACATATGGCTGAGGTTATATTCTTTTGACCCTGAGAGTGACCCACGAGTTTGCTGCGGGGCTAACACCAATCCCAGTTTGGAGAACGGCTTTCTGGCCTGAGTTTCAGGCGGTTCATCTTTCAGTAATGCTATGTGAAAGATCTGCCTTAGACTGACTTTCCTTACCTTAATGGGATCTACTGTGTCTGTGTTGATAGGACTTAATTTAAAGCAAATTCACCTTGACTATTAATGTCTTTTGCAATTCACTGTGTACACTTTGTACCGTCGTATTTCCTTTTATAAACAGATACTTGGTAGAGTACCAAATCAAAACCAAACAGAGAATAAGAACTCTTTTTAATTTACAGGAAATTTTACTGTAAACAAAGTGGTACGTGTCTGTTATCTCTTTTCCTGCAATGTTCATAATAAATCTTTAAATAAATCATTTTTATTATGAGTCAGGATTGCTACAAGTATCAGTCAACTTCCATATAAGCCCAAGAGCTTGTATATTCACCTTCTTCACTTATTTATATTTACTCATTTAGATATTATCCCACTAGATACTGGAAACTAATGTCAATGAAGGTATTCTTGGTTAAATTATAATCTTGCTTTGTTTTTCAATTTTCCATAAAGTCAGAGTAGAAATAAAAACTTCGAAAGCACCTTCATTTTCCTGCACCTCACCCTGTGGTTTATGCATGAGCATGCATGTGCATATTTCCATACTGTATGCTCAATATGGGCAAATGTTTTGGATGGGGTGTGCACATGTAGCTGCGTAAACCCGCTGAGTACAAGGCCTGCAAAGCCAAATTGGAAAGGCAGATAATAGCTTTACAATTGAAGCATAAATAGTGAAAAAATTCCTTATGAGCTTGATCTTGAAGGGTGCTGTGTAGTTTCTGAAATTATTGTGTACCTTCAACTTTCAGAGGAGTCAGCTTGTCCAAGGGACTCTTGACACCTTGCTGATTAAACTCCAAATGCTGGTCTCTTTTGGATTTTGAATGGAATTCAGTGTGATTCTGGATAACAGTTTGTCTCCAAAAATGTTAAATTCACCACTGTACATGTGTACAATGAATAAAATAATAATAGTAAGTGTGCGAACTTGAAACTCCAGCAAATTGCTTTAGAAGCGTGATTCCCAAGGTCAACGGGGAAACTGAGTAGCAGAGGATTTAAGCGATACTGTAAAGGCCACCTATTAAATTAGAGCTGGGCTAGACCAGAATCCTGTCTCTTGAATTTTATCCAGTACTCCAATTCCCTCATTAGGAGCAAACAGCCAGAGAAGGATATGCTTCCAAGGGTTTGAAATGTGTGTCCTAATGTGATTATAAATGTTTGGATGCCCCTGCAAAGTTTACTCAAATTATCTAAACTTCTTTTATTTTGAAAACCAGAGACAGGCATTTTCTAAGAATCAGACTTTTCTATAGCCTTCTGTTGCAGCTGCTTCTGATTGCAGCAGGAAAAAAGCAGCATTTTTGTGGTATTCTGGTGTTCTGGGTGCAGACCCATCTGGAAACCAGAAGGCCGTAAAATGTGTTTGGACATTTCAGAACTTTATAATAAATTCAGTTTGAGTTGTGCCATACGAAGATCTAAAATAGTTGTTTTCTTCTAAGTCTTCTCATCCATCCCTGATGTCTGCTACAGCTTTGACAAGAATCTGTCTTCACTGATTTAGGTCAAGTCCATTGTGCTATAAAGTGAAAATGGAACATCTACTAAGGCTAAGTTATTTTATACCAATGACAGCTACTCAAAAGCTATAAGAAGAGTCTACTTGGCTTCCTCACTTCCAAGGAAGGGCTAGACCACACTAAATGATTTAAAGACAGGTGGTAGATGTGCCTGCAGGAGCTAATTTCCAGCCTTTAGTATCATTGACTGGTGCATTTTCTCCTGTTCACTCTGGTTGACATCATATATAATTGCAATCAAAGTTGACAGAAATTGCACCAGCAACGATGGTTGCAGTGGACAATACAGGCTTGCAAAGCAATGTAGCAGTGAATAAACCCTTAACTCTTTCTGTAAGTGCTCTGTAAAGTGCTCTATGATCGGTTATACCACATCTGAGCAGAGAAGCTAGCGCTAGAAAGTTGAGACTCAAGTTATGAAGTTACTTAACCTTATTGTGCTTCAGTGACCATTAATGGAGTTATATTTTGTGAGCATCTGATGTTTGATTTCATGTTATCTTATTAGTTTTGCTTTTATTTGAAATCATAAGACCCTTTTACTATCTGTGAAAGCAAAACCAAATATTAGTGGACAGAACTACAAGAACGTGCAGCATCTCATCCTGTGCAGGATGCCTGTATGTGTTACTGGGGTAACCCACTCATATCCTGCTATAGCCGCCGCTGCTCCATGTCTGTACTTTAAAAAAGGAACAAAAGCATATGCTTAGTTTTAAAGATACATTTAACTATTAAGCTGCACAAGAGCTTAATCCAAAAATTGCTGAAGCTTTCCTGCTTCCTCATTCTCTTACTATATCATTGGAGCCACTAGAAACTGAAAATCACTATACGGTGAAAGCAACCATTTCTGCACTGCCGTACTACACTCACAACGTCCTGTCTCCTTACCAGGCACAGCAGAATATATAGAATCATAGAATGGTTTAGGTTGGAAGGGACCTTGAAGATCGTCTAGTTCCAGCCCCCCTGCCATAGGCAGGAACACCTCCCACAAGACCAGGTCGCCCAAGGCCCCATCCAGCCTGGCCTTGAACCCCTCCAGGGGTGGGGTATCTACAACTTCTCTGGGCAGCCTGTTCCAGTGCCTTACCACCCTCAAAGTGAAAAATTTCTTCCTAATGTTTAGTCTAAACCTGTCCTCTTCCAGTTTAAAGCTGTTCCCCCTCGTCCTATCACTACATGCCCTTGTAAAAATATGAAAATATAAGAATATGTAGTATATAGTAAAAATATGTGAAAATCAATCCTTATTATCTGAAATAAAAGTCTAGCCTTGCTTTAAACTAGCAGCATATCATCCTGTGATGGCTCAAGAACCAGCTGGTGGCAATGCAGAGAAGTGCCAGTTGAGGGAGGAAAGCATGTCAGACCACAACTCAGGTTTAGTGCCATTAGGTCTCGCTGTGATCTGAAAACAGTGCCGGCGTTCCTGTACGGCCCAGCCTTGTCACACAGCCAACACAACATCAAGCAGTCTGGCTGGCAAAGGCTGCTCAGCTTGTGTCAAAGTCTTCTTGGTCTTCTTGAAGCATTAGAATATGGGTAAACATTCAGATAAACTTCTGCATTTCTGGACTTTCTGTGTATTTGCTGTTTCCCACTCTCCTTCCTACTCAGTTGCACGTTTTGGCTTCCTTGTTTGTAATGTAAATGTTAGTCAGTGTTTGGAAGTAAGGAAAACATAGCAATGTATGTATGTAGCATGTATGTATGTATGTATGTATGTATGTATCAATGTAGTTCTTCTCCAGAGCTGCCCTTTTGTATTGTGCAAATCTCATTTCAAGGCAGAAAGGGTATATTATCACTGCAAAAAGCAATATGAAACATATATTCCAAGTGCAACTCAGTACATCTGAGTTTTCTGAAGGCTGGAAATCATAACTTGAAGATAAGTAAGATGTACCTGTCTCCAGATAAGGAACTCGCTCACAGCTTGTCTTTGGGCATTAGCAGTTTTTCTGTCTTGCTCCCAGCTGATTCTCCATTGTCCAGATTCATGCCTTTCAGCTCACTGCCGGTTCTCCAGCGGTCTGCCGAGATGCCTCAGGAGCAGCCTCAATATTTAGTGCAGTAGCAAACAACATAGCCAGATGGGTGGTGGGAGGAAAAACTGTTCTTACACCTGTGGCAATCCCACAGCAACCCAAAGTAGATTAGGTTTTTCATGCTAAATTGCTTCTAGACACAATAAATCTCATTACCATGTATAGATGTGCTTTTCTGATGATGCAAACTATACCAGCACCACACCTTTGAGGGGATAAATGCAATGTGTTCTACCCAGCATTAATGTTTG